CTGCGAATACGTACCGTCGCGACGGTGTACATTGTGTTTTCCAGGTGGTTGGTGTGTTAGTGTGTGTGAATGTAAGTAGGCAGCGAGGCTAGAGTACCAGCGGTTGCTCGAACTGAGGCCCTCATATACCTTACTCGGGTCCCCCATTCCTACCCCCCTCTTGCCCTCTTGCACTCTTGTTAGCTCTGTGGGACTTTCACTATCTATTCGAACTCCTGTATGTACGGGCCGCCTTGTCTCGTTACAGTACCTTATATCCCCTAAATATCCCCCACCAATGGCCAGCCCGGTTTCTCCAGACTCTGGAAAATCGGATCGCGGACCGGCCAGCAACTTTCGTGTCAAACGCGTAATTCTTCTGCGAAGAATTTTCGTTCTCGACGAGATTTAATCGAGATCTCTTGCAATTTGTTAATCGAAATTTACTCGCCAGGAGAATTATGAAAGAGTTTTGAATAGGAAGAGGCAACGATGTCGTTGATGAAAATCGTTTGCGATACTTGGTCTCGTTGCGTACAGAAATTCCTTTTCATTAAAACTCTCTTTTCTTTCTTTGAAAGAAAAATTTTCTTTCAAAGATCGCCTTACGGAGCATGAAGCGAAGAAATCTGCCTAGAATCTGTTCGACGGATCGATTATCTATTGATAGATAAGACGCGGCGAGGATTGTTCAAACGTTCAGGTTTTCGATCGAGAGAATGGATCCAATTTGTCCACCGTGTGCTCTTATATTACAGTAACTGGTGCAGTAACTCGTATAACCGGGGACACGTTGCCCGGTAGGTTGTTCTCGTTTCTCGTCACTCTTGAAAATCATTCCGAAGCCCTCCGTTCCGACTACCAATACGCTGATCTGCCGTTGATCAATTTTTATTGCACGTTTCGTCCACCGTACGGTCTCATTACGAATTTACTGCTCCAAACTGTTTAACGTTGTGTTCCACGCACGTGCTACGCCCGATTTCAATCCACGAGAATGGCATCTTAGAAATCCGCGCGTAAATAGTGGCCAAATTCGCGATATTTTTATTAGAGAGACTTCAGCTAATTAGAAAGTACTTCGTACAAGAATACTTCAAAGAAAATTTCAAATGTAGAATATTTAATTGTGAAAATTTCCTATTTTATATATCAATATACTATAGTTTTATATTATAATATATTTTAATTATAATAATATATATTAATTATAATATAATTTTATATTATATATTTAATAAATATTATTATATATTTTATATTTGTAATTATTTTGATTGACATTTTAATAGACTAGAAACAATGTATTGATATACTAATATATACACAATTTATTGGCATTATATATATATATATATTAATAATGTAAAAATAATAATAAAAAAGGTAAAGTTTTTCAGCCCCGAGTTCCTATGGTGAAATTATTATGTAAAAGTAAAGGCGATCGAGGTCACGCTACAGAAATTAAACGACATTACAGCGATTGAGTGGGACAAAAGGGAACGCACTTTTACCGCGAGTGTCGAGTATTTATTCACGATTTATCGGGCAAGAAAGATACCTCGACGCGAGAAATTTGAAATTTTCAGCGAGCGAGTGTTGATCTCTCGATTCAACACGGGTGCAGGGAATTTCGTTCACGCTGGGCTATTAACATCGACGACTGAAACTGTAAAGTTCTCTTTAGAAATATTCAAGTAAAAGAAGTAGGATAACTTATTTATGATAGAACGAAGTACGCAAGAATTTATTTATTTATACACTTTACGAGAAATCGTTGAAATATCTAAAGTTACACCACGTCCGTGAAGTATTCAACAGAAATTACAAAATGGTCAGTTTGTGAGAATTTAGTTCATATTCGTGGAAATAGAGGTAAGAGCGAAGAAAATACGATCGGAACGTTGAAGGAATTTAAATTACAATTACCAATTATTAAAGCGTGGATTTTATCTACTTGTGGAAATTTCGAAGTGCAAAAATGTAAAAAAAATATCCAAAGCCTTTTCTTTGGATAGATCGAATAGATCGAACAATTTTTATGAAATATTCATGAATATTCTAGTGTTTCTTTTATGTGATTCGAATAATTTAGATGATTGGTTTTAAGAACCAAACAGAATGAGAAAGAATAGCAATGGATTTTCTTTCGCTTCATTTCATCGTGTAATGCAGGCAGTAATTATTTATCCTTCGGCTTTCATTAAGCGAAAAAAAAAAAAAAATTGTAAAGTTCAAACGTCATTCAGGCACTACCGTTAGAAGCGGTGTTGCCTACTCTATTGTCACTTTACAACGATTTAGAGCTAATCGACGGTCGCCTCTGCAAATCAGAATGTATGTTTAAACGTTCGCAATTTTCACCTACGAGCTTCCGCTATTCATTCTAAATCACACGATGATTTTCTCCAAACTTCACTATCTATCGTTCGAGTTATCTTTTCAAATCTTTGATGCTGATTTTCGCTTAAAATGATCGAAAACCTCAAGGTTTCGTACCGAAGGGTATATTAAAAGGCATATTAATTATATTTAGGTATATTATATTTAAAGGGTATATTAAAAATCCAAAATACATTCATGTTTAAAAGCGAATGCATTTCTTTTATATATATATATATATATATATATATATATATATATATATATAT